CAAGCCCGGCCTGCCATGCCCCGCCCCACCGCACCCCGACCCGCCCCAGAGGACGGGGCCCCCGCAAGCACACAATCACCATAGATATTGGCCAGCGAGAGACTCATGGACCCGTGTCTCTGACTGGCGTGCCGTCATTCCAGCACTGCCAAGAGCACTGCGGTCGTAGTGAAAAGAAGTGTCAGAAAAACAAATATTTGCACGAAAATGTCGTGTCGCAAAATAAGTTACGTGTCGTAAAATTAAAAAAAACCAAGCTGTTACGAATTCTGTTCGCGCTTGTAAATCTACAATTTGACAAACTAGGAGAAATAGTGGAGGTCGTTTCTATCTCAAATTCAAAGTATAGCTTTTCACGCATTTTCACGGCATATTCAAACTGAAAAAATACCCTCTTACGTTTACAACATTTGCGTAATTTGTATTTGTTAATTATATTGTAAATTTACGACAAGTCGATACAAAGTGTTTGTAATTTTACAATTTCAAATTGTGGTTTTACGACACACATCGCACATCGTGGAAAATTTTCACGCAAAATTACGCCTATTACTCAAACTGTTATTTATCTAAAAGTTTCCATCCCTTTGCCGCAGCGGTGTCACGTCCTATGCGTTACGTGTCGCCGTGAAAAAAAGTGTATCACCGTTAGAGGCGCTCCGGTTGCGTCATTGGGTGACGACGTTACGTCACGCCACAGCGTCACTCCGCCGGGCGGGAGGCTGGCGCCCTCGTCACGTGCGACGGTCCGGACAGGTCACGCCTCGGCCGGCGCCCAGCCCCGACCTCACTACTGTCAATGTTGCGGCTCGCGGGGCGGGGCGGGGCGGTGCCGAGGCAATCCAATTGCGCGGGCCGTGCTGAAATGCTGCAGGCTCACCTAGGGGAGGGGCACAACTCCCGTGTACTACGTTGGTAGAGCAAACCGACACGATCTCTCTCTCCATCCCCTCTCCGCCCAGCTGGACCCCTGTGGATCTGAGGGTAGGCCACCCGGCCAGCTCAGCTGTCCGTCACAGCAGGATTTTGCCTACCCCTCTGGCGTTTGCTGCTGCTGCATCACCCAGAAAATGATTTCTCCAAGGAAATTTCAAATTTCGACCTTAACTGAGGGTAATAAAACATTTGCCTTTTATTTCGAGGAAGGCTTCATGAAACCTATCGACATTTTTCCTCGCATCCATTTTACTATGTAACTTTAAACCGCCACCAATAAAGCCCTCGTCTTCATCTAGCCGTGATCGCGAATCCCTTGCCGAGGTCGTGCGGATCCATTTGAGCACCGGATCAGACGGGATCTGAGGAGGGTCCGTTTAGCGGTTATGTTCTGGGATCCATTTGCTCTGGTTCGCTCCATTAGCGTGGAGCGTGTCAGCGCATCCTTGCAGGGCTTATCTCGGCGGCAAACACCCTGCAAGGGACACTCTGCTCAAAAAAGTTGCTCATCTCCCGAGAAAAAGAACAAAAAAACACAAAAAAAACAACCTCGACATATTTTGCAGGGGGGGGGGGGGGGTGAGAGAGCAAACGTTTCTCAGAAGACAACCGTTTCGAGAAAATACTTAACTCAAAATCATTTGGATCACATCCAATTTTACAACACTACAACGCACCACGTTACAAGCGTGCTTTCTATTTTACAACATTAGAAATAATTGTTAATGATAAATAAAAAATAAATAAATAATAAAGAAAGTTTTCGAAATCGTTTTTGGTTGAGAAGACGAGAGCTCTTATCGAGGAGAGAAGAGGACTTGCATGTTCAGCTGAAACTGAACGAGGAAAACAAAACAGACACCCACAGCGTTCGGCTTTGCTCGCCGAACGATATGAAAAAAACATATTAGCTGATATGAGATGCCCGTAGTAAGGTTGGTTTAGCTAGCTAATCTTTGCTGTTCTGTGAAGGTTTCACCTGCGTGAGCGACGCAGTCCTCGGCCTAGAGCCGGCAGCCACCGGCATTTACTGGCTTATAGGAGAAAGAAAAAAAAAAGAGAAAAAAACAAAAACAACAACTGATGGATGAGCTGAGTCTCCCTTTTCGCCTTCAAGCGCGCGCGCTCCCGCCACCTGTTGACGTTGTCGTTGATGATTGATGTCACGCTCACCTTGTTGACGGCCGCGATGAGGATGGTGCTGAAGAACAGGGTGGCGACCTGGCAGCCCAGGTTGGCCAGGTAGGAGACCTGCACGCCTGCAACAGAGCCGCGCCCACCAGGACCCCGTTAGAGAGCGGCGAACCGACGACGAGCTCGTCGAGCAGAACCACCCTCACTGTCCGATTTTGTCCGTTCGGTTCTTTTGTGGTCCCGGGTGATACCCGGGGAGGTCGACAAGTCTCCCGTAGTAAAAAAACGACTTCTTAGCTTCCCAGTAGGGATTTAAAAGTCCGATTTTTTCCGGAAATATTGGAAACTTTTCCTGAAAAACAAAATGGGAAAAATTGAAAAGTTTCCAGAAAAATTAAAAGGAAAATTGTAAAAAAAATTATTTAAAGATTTAAACAAAATCACTGATATTCTCTCCCGAAATATTCTTTTGTGAAATGTCAATCCCTATATCCAAGTCCCAGCAGCCAAGCATCTCTGATAACAGCGCCCCCGCATACCGAACAACGCGACTCCTCCCAGTGATACCACAAGCATCATTAAAACTTCATTCTCTTTCGTCGGGGTGCGCATTCGTATACCGTGAGCCCAAGTGAGCCCCCCCCCCCACCCGTCCCGACCCGCCTCCGCGCTCCCTTTACCGCCGAAGTCTTTGGGCTATGTGATCACTCCACTCCTCGCTCCCACCGCGTGTTCTTGGAAGGCGCCCGAGGGCGTTGTTGTGCTGGCGGCGTAGTCCTTTCGAGGAAGCTGAGGTATATAATGGCATGACCGGTTGCGTCCAGGTGCGGTG